GATTTTAAATAAAAATAAACAAATCAATATGTATTCTTTTAATAACTTAGTTGACACAAACGAGTAATTATTTATGAAACTACTACTACAGCTATTAACTATTATGCGCAATAAAAAAATAGTTTAGCGCATACAAAATATTTATGCAGTTAAACGTAAAAATATTTAAAAATGACTATGAACGTGACCCAGGTACCAAAGCGTGGTAATAAAAAAAAGTAACCAACCTCTTCAGAACTGGGTTAAGTTCATATTTGCCTCCATTGTTATTACTTTGAACACTTCGAGTTGAATATATTAGTGTTTGTTAACTATTAATGTACAGCTCAACATTCTTAATGTTGACTGAAACTTCAAAGTACAAACGTCGGAAGCCGGAAGCGGTGGTGGTTAAGGAAATAAATTTAAATACAGATAAATTAAAAACGTTCACAGTAATAAATGAACGATTCATCATTTTGTCCAAGTTTGTTCTAGTAGGGGGGGGGGCTGTTCCACAATATACAAATACACAGGCACGGCAAAATCAAAAGTTTCAGTACCCCTGTACATAATATACCTAGGTATTATATGATTATAAACTCACTATGTCCCGTGCAACCACCCATCGCTTGGGACGACGAGGAGATGACCACTCGGGCGTTGGGCTCCAAGATCAGTTGGCCGTTGAAGGGCAACAGGACCTCACACACGTCAATGCCGGTGGCCGGCACCACCACCGGGACCAAGGTGTTCTCCTGGAACACGGCCACGTCTACGGACGACGGGACGTGTCCCGCGTCCCAGTTGCGCGGCGCCTCGAAGTCCACGTTGGGCGTCCACTGCTTGGCCACGGCGTCCACGACTCCGCCTGAAAACGATTCGTGCAGGGAAGTTTTTTAAGTGGCGCAAATATTACTATAAAATATATTTCATTTATTGTCGTCACGGACCGTCGTAAAGTGTCTCGCTCGGGTAAGATTTCCGGAAAAAAATACATTTCGGTCGGAAGTTGTTTAAAAGGTTTTTATATGATATTATTGTGCTCGGCAGCTGCAATCACCTGGTAACTATTTAGTCCAAAAGTGTCAACAGCGTTTGGACAACTTCATTTGAACGTTTCGTAAGTGCTGCAGATAGTGATGATTGCAGCCTGTCGACCAGCCATCGAGAATACTTTACGAAAATCCACCAACGAATGCACATTTTTTTACAAATAAAATCATACTCATATATACGATATTTATAGATGTACTATAATATGTAACTAGTAAATACGTTAAAATATGAATTTTGAATAGTTGTTTTTTTGCACATTTATAACGTTTTTGTTTGCATACTTTAGTTTTTCTATGAGCATATAATATTTGATAGATTTTGACTTTCATGTGACTTCCGACCCCAGTATGTATATCATTAACAATGAATTAATGCTGGGCATTTTATGGATTTCGAACTATAGACGAAATAATAATAATAATAATATTGACTTATGTGAGCCGATTTAAGTTTTACGGACCACTTGTGAACGGGAGCGAACCTGAAAACGACAGAAGAGCTGCGACTACGACGATCGCCGTCGATGACATCATATTATTATGGCTATTTTTGTTACGATCGCGACGACTGCAACAGAAGGGACTGCAACAATTGATCGGCTACAACGACGACATAATTTATTAAAAATATTAAAATATAATTCTATCGTTGTTATATTGTTTGAGAGCGGGTCGAGAATGTCATTGAACTAATATAGTGCCGCGGTCGGTTCAAACAAACATGCACTGAACGTCAAAGATCATTATGGTTTTTTAGCCTGGCCAGTTGTGGGTGTCGATCGCGCCCGAAGCAGTAAAAAACGAGATAATTCGCAATGCATAATATTATACATCACGCTTACAGAGCTCACACCACATCAGTATATACAGAGTGGTTCGCCATTCACCATTCGCCTCCATTATTTATTTTTATAATGTACATTCGTTCAAATTCTGATCATTAAGATGTTCAGATTATACCGCCATATTTTGAAGGACCTCATTTTCTAATACATGTTTTCCGCATACTAGCAGCAAGAGTCTCCTGGTGCGGGATAAACTTTTTATTTCAAATGAGAACCACTTTTTTTGCTGAAAATTGTTAGTCGGATAGTTTATTTGAACACGTCGACGAGTCTGAATAGGAATTCAAACTAATAGTTTTTTTTTTAACTATTATGTCTTGCGTATTTATAAAATCTATAGCCTTTGACAATGATTTTACACCAAATATAAAATACATGCAAGATTTAATGTACTAGGTACTTATCTTATTCATTATACTATACTATACTTATATTAACAAATGATTATACAATTCTAATTGATAAATATTAACTTCTGTCTGCTATATGGTCTATAATTTTCAAATAATCATAGTCCCCATCATATCTTCCAGGGTAACCTAATCAATATATTATCCTTCGTACACATAGTAAAATATAATATAGTATAAGTACCTATTTTTGATAATATGGTCCTTAAGTAGGAATACTTTCAATTTTAAAAATCACAATTTGAATCAACACAGAGAACATTTTGAATTCAAATAATTCAAATAGGGGTAAGCATATGTTTGACGAATCACGCTGTGTGCATGAATATCATTCTGTGTTAAAATAATGGAATATAAAATATAAAATAAAATATTATACTCCCAACAGTCCCAACAGCGGTCGGAGTATGTCGGCAAATGACAATGGTAGGAAAAATTGTATGATTGACGTTGAACACATGGCCAAACATAGTAGTATTTAAAAGATTAAAATACACTTGTATAATATAATAACATAATTCATAATATTATCCGATGAAATTTCTTCCCCTCGTTTTTCTTTCGATATTATTCAAAACGATGCACCTACCTACTACGTCATGCTGCACATCATGTCTTCTAAGCTCAGGCTCACATCAAAGCAGCGACAGTTACATCGGGAATAGAAAGTCTAGCTGGCCATTGCTGTGGGCATGTAGTTATAGGTCGTTGTGATTTTTTTTTCTGAATTAGTGTTTGCCGGGCCTAAGACGGTCATACAGATAAATAAAAAACTGCTAAGGGTTGACTACGCCACGCCATAAACATCAAACACAAAAACAACTACTGACGGTTCTATTATCAAATTTTTTTTAATGAAAAAACTGACTACTCGAAAATCGAAATCATTACAAAGACTTAATAAATTTAAATCAAAACTCTTTGCAAATACGATTTTACAAACCTTGTTAAATAATATTGATCTTGGATTTATCAAAATAAATAATAAATCCAAGTTTTTTAAGTATGCTCAGCTCTTAGAATAATCTTAAATCATCACATAACATTATTTAATTATACATTATGTTTTAAATATTTTATTTTTAATAAAGAGTTTTTTAATTACTGTTGGATGGCGTTGTTTTTAAAAATGCCGGTACTATTATACATGTATAATATTATAATTACCCTTCCGGATGATAAAATTAATTTTTTCACCTAATATTATTATAATTTTTTTTTATTAAATGTCATTGTTCCACACATATGCCATAGCAATTGCTTATAACGGTATTAAATACTGTAAGACCCACGTAATAAACAGATGTACGTAGTATAATAATTGTTTCAGTGATGTATTTATTTATTTTTTAATAACTTATATTATATATGATTATTGATTAACATACACTCGATTAATATACATAATAAAGGCAATAGAAGGCTTTACAAAAAAATTATAAATAATGTTTCTTTGATATAAAACAAAACTCGAGTTCAATGTGAATCGAATATTTTTATTATATAAATTTTATAATATTAAAATAAGTTTTATAATCAGGTTCAAATAATAAGTTTAACATACATTAAATGTATAAGGTTATAATATTGAACTTAAAAATATTATAAATTAATTGAACTTATAACGCGAGGGAGGGGAGGATACTTGAAACATGTTGGTTAATCGATAAATCATAAAATAGCATTATGTGTAACTCTGCGGGTGAATAAAATAAGTACAACGTTTTTGAAGTGTATAGTATGCCATTCACATAATATTAATGAAAATAATAAAAACTAATAACAACGCTGTACGGATAAAATAATTAAAATACATACAGGCTTTATAATAAAGTGGTTTCCGCTTTTTTTATACAATTTTTAAAACAATAAATATTATATTTTTGCTTGAATGTCAAAATTAATACATAAATATGAGTATATTAATTTCGTTGATTTTTACACAATCGACATTCAATAATATTACGAATTACGATCTACTTTTTACATTATAAATAGGTGAATGATTTCAATTATAAAATTAATAATATAACCATATAGTGGTGAATACTTCAAATTATAACAAATTCACGCTAAATGTAGATATAATACTATTATTATGCATAATATATACAGTTTCAAAGAGTGTAATATAGGTATTGCTTTTTGGTAACTATTCTAAGGCATATGTATACCAATACCTATAAACTATATTAATTATTGTAATAATAATTTTTTAAAGCGACTTATAACTTACTTAACTCATACATCGTTCAATAAATAAAAAAAATAAGTTAACTTTATTATAATAATGATTATACTGATTAACATAATATTACAATAAATCAGTAACACATTGTTAATCATACCTTTAAAAAGTACAATCAACTTGTATAATGTTACTTTCTTTTAATCTTTGGTAAATATCTATGCGCTAGACAAAATTACTTATTGTTTAATAAATATTATACTACAATACTTATACTATAATTATTATTTGTATTCATTAGTTTTGGTAATAAATAATAAGTAAAACACTTAATCGACTATAACAAAACAATAAATTATTAGGGAGTATTATAATATTATGTAGTTCCTCAATATGATATTATACGTGTCACCCGAAAATCGTCTTAGTTCCGATATTATAAAAAAAATGTTCGAACTGACCTTAAGCAATTACGATATTTACGGTTTAAACTTAAAATATACAAATAAATAATGCATCAGAAATGACCATGTTGATTACCGGGATTCAAAATTAGGTATATTTTAAGCACAATCACATATATTTCGAAAACTATACCTCCTACCGCTACTAGACCGTATAATATTGTGTCCATCGGATAATTTAAAATCGACGACCTCATTTTTGATTTTTGAGTAAGTATCCAGTTTTATACAAGTGTATATTATAGTCAAATAAGTACTTGATTACAGTTTTACATCTGTATAGTAATTCGTATCTAATGCATGGGTAATTTTGAAATCCTTTAACCACGATTTGTCGTTTTGGCTAAGTGAACTAGTGAACCGTTGTACAGTCATACTAGGTCGGATGAGATTTGATTTACGATTATTTTAGTATGGTTTTGTCTACCTACGCATTAAATCGTTCGCAGTGTAGCGAAATCAAAATATGTCATATTATTATATATTATATTATAAGTATAGGTAGTACGTATAGCTATACGATTTTCAAGCAATGTTGTCGGAATGTCGTCTTACTACTACGCATCGAAACAACACCGAAATAATTGTCTACAGATTTGCAAGTGGACTATTTTGAAAATAATGTATCTGAATGTTATACGTATATATACAGGGCGATTCACCAACCATGCCCACACGCTGTCTTATCCTTTAATCGATTAGGGACGTAGGAATAATTGAAGTTTTGATTTATGGAGGAATAAAATAACTTTGTTTTTTTTTAAAATAAGGTCTTTTCTTTTTGTACGGTTGAATAATAGCAGACTTATCTGAACATTTTGGCTTATTGAAAACGAAATTAGAACGTCGGGTTTCAAAAATGTGTTAAACTATTAACTTTATGAACCCAGGACAATATATATAATAATGTGCACAAAAGTCTCTTTCGTTTTTAATACATTTTATGATTAAAATTGATTAATAAATAGATCTTATAATTAATCTGTGAAAACTGTTCTTAGACATTACATTTTTTTTTTAATTTTCAGTACTTATCTTATAATGTAAAATAATTTTGTGTAATATTATTGTTTGACAATTTATTATAATAAAGTATAATAATTAATAACCATAGGAAATCACTACTTCGAATTTAATTTGCGTCTCGCCAAAATGTTACTCATTAGGTACTTCACTGATAAATGGGGACTAGAGCTTATCGCTAAAAGACGGCACCCTTTGACTATACATTAAAGAAATCAAAATATTTCGGAAACGTAAAAAATCGGAACTATTCGAAAGAAGGACGACATTAGGAGAAACACAATTGGTGAACACGAAGGTGTTATAAAAATACTTCGCATCATGTTCCCATATTACGACCGTGGGGATTTTCCGAAGCCTTTTCCAGGAGCCAATCTGCAAAAAGTGTGGGAAAACTCGACCTTTTTATCGGCGAGAACCGTGGTAGTGGTCGCGTTTCCTTCGGCTCGGTTCGTCGGGGGCTTGGTTACCGATGTGGTTGTGGTCCTGCATAACGGGGGCTGCGGTAAGATCGTCCAACTTGCTGGCTAGTCCGTAAGTCTTGACCTTTGAGTGACCTTGTATGATGAGGTACATGGGCCGGCCGGTGACCGGTGACTGCCTGTAATGCGAGAATAGAGGGTCCGTCACGGCCACGGGTGACGTGGTTCGGGCGGCCGTCGAAGTGGCCGGTGGCGTCGTAGTGATGGTTGGCGGTGACGGCGGCGGGGGTGGAGGTGGAGTCGTCGTCGTCGTCGTCGTCATCATTGTCGTCATCCAGACGGCACCGGTAACAGGGGTGCCTGTCGTCGTGACCGTCGTCCGGTCAACTTCGTCGTCCAACAGAGCCTTGACGATCGACGAGTGATTGGGTGACGGCGGGACTAGACGCGTCGGCGCCCGGACCATGGTCGGCGGGGGTTGTTTGCTCTCGGCCACAGCGTTGCCGGGTACGTCCGGGGACGACGACGATGACGACAACGACTGTCGCTGACCATCGACCGCGGCCGACCACTGCTGGTACGGCGGCGGCGTTAGCATAGGCAGCGGGGTCCTAGGCACGGGCGCGGCCGGGTGCATCGAGTAGTGGTAGCCGGCCGCGGACACTGCCTGCAGCGTCTGCAAGTGGTGATGCATTTGTTGCTGCTGCTGCGGATGGTGGTGACTGTGAGGGTGATGATGGTGAGGCTGCAGTATACTGTTGTTGGGCGGCGGCCGCTTTATTGCTGCGTAAGCCACGGCCTGCACCGGTTCCCTTTTCGAGAAGTCCGTCAGGAAGAACCGTCGGTTGTAACCGCCGTGAATAGCCTGTGACGGCGGCGTGGTCGGCGTTGCTGTGGCCGCGGAAGAGTAATAGTGAGCACGGTTGGTGGCCGCCGGCGGAGATTTCCAATAGTGCACCCTGTCCAGCACCGGTGGCAGGTAGTCGAACGTCGGATCGTTTTTCAGTGGGTCGCCACGGCCCAACGGCGTCCACTCTTCGAAGTCCATCCTTGGCGAGATCACGTTCCGGCCGTCCGTCATCGTTGTTCCGGCGGAAGCTGCTGCAACAGAGCCAACGTAATTATAATTATTATATCATCAAATTAAATAATTAACATTACAATCGCTGTAACGAAATCGATTGTTTCTGCCGTGACGACGTACGACGTAGCGCATCGTCGAGACCATTGTAATATTATTGTTTTTTGTTCTTTACACCCACACGAAACACATTAATAGTTTAATGCCAGGTGACAGTATCAAAAATGTGATCAATATACGATTGTTGGATAAAGTTTGATGGACCAATTTATTGTCGTGACCCATTAAATCATGTTTTAGGAATCGTTAACTAATACTATTGATTGATTAAATGCTTAGGTATAGCTATTGCCCAAGTAACCCATCGCGGACATAAGTATTATTGTTTAAGTCGCATAATATATTATAAAGTACCTTATATAAACACCGAGGTTCCGCTTACAAGAAGTCAGTGATCAAAATTTTACTTAGCCAATTTAAACTTAAGAAAAGTCGTAGACTATAGTTTTGTGTAGGGTACCTCACTTTTTAATTATTTTAATGTAAGCACGTTGTTGTATATCAGAGTGGTATTGGTTTTGGACATCAAAATATTTTTTTATTGGTTTACTATTCCGTACATTGATTTTTGATTTATGTAATAATATTTAACTGGTGTATCAGTATATATGTACAACAGTGTGATGACGACTAACCAGATATTATACAATTTAACGGAATGTAATCAATGATATAATAAAATCAATCAAGATTATATCATTTATAAATTCATAAATTAATTACCAGTTAACTGCATCATTAACTATTTTTTTTTTTGGTTAAATTTAACTTGACTATTCTAACAGTCTATACTATTTTGACAGTTACTCAAAAGTAATGCTACGTAATATAAGTCGAGTATTATAAATCTAAGAGTAATTTATTGTCGTGACTAAAAAAATGTGCCTAATTGTAATTTTTTTTTATTTTTATTTACCCAACACTAATTATATTATTAAACACCGATTAGAATAATGCATATTTAATATTATAATAGCTTATTAATCGTATTAATAAATCTGTAAAAGTTCTTTTATTAAATTTATTTTATTTAATAATATAAAATAATTCCTATCTTATGCTGGCGACGCGCGACGCTTAAAATCGATTTGAGTAGGTATGGGTAATGGGTATAGCGTAATGTACTTAATTTAATATTATATGAACAAGACCCAAAAGCCAAAACCAAAGCTATATTTACTATATTCATAATTAGAATCACCTCATGGAAAGAAGGGATAATTTTATTATATAACTGATATATTTTGATATTTAATACTTAAAATATATTTTTTTTTATCATAAAATTGTTTAACTTGAAATATATATATTTTCAGCACCATGGCGTAAAACTGTAAAAGAATATGGTTGTTAATAAACATTCATCACTAGCGAATAGCAAGGTAATTTTATAAGTCCCGAGCTTAACTCTACATTTTATATTATATTCTAGGTTAAAATTAATACTTAAAAAAAAATGTAATCAGGTTGGCGTAATCTTTTTTCCAGAAACACAGAATTTTTATCCGAAATATAATATTATGGTACCGGTGCCTTGATAAAACATTTTTATGAAATTGTATTCACGTTTATTTTCATTCGTCGTTGGGCCCACGATTTTCGACACGGGTGTGGCTATATTAAAATAAGCTGATCAACTTTTTCGTTTTTTTGAGTTGGTAATGCACTACTTGCCCGAATGTGGGCTCCAGAAAGGATAGTATAATTATACTCCAAAAGTTCAGATTTTAATTTTTAACCCAATACTGCAGAGGAGACTGCTGCTGCAGCGTTATTTTAAAGGTTCATGTTTAATAAATTGTAAACTATTCGATATTAAAATACACACCGCCAAGATACCATTCAATAATAATTGCAGTCTGTTTATAATGGTATCAATACTATTTCTAGTACAACTATGTTTAGTGTAATTACAAGCTAATGATATTATATTAATAATTTTTATTCAAAACGTGTAAACGGTATAAGCTGTAAATCTGTTGTATACTTAAATTGTACAACGACCCGTGTAATCATTTATCACACAATTATATTATGACGCGTAGTATATCAGGTAAAATGTAGGGCAAGTCCCTAATGCTGAGGCCTGTTGTGCCTGTTGTTCATAGGTAATGTAAAATTTGACGGTTGAGCTTTAGTCAAACATTTGAGAAATGCATCGCGACTGCAGTGGTGGACTGGGTCTGCGTCTGAATGAGTGATTCCAGTACGTTTGCCGGCAAACATCATTTAAAAAAAAATTAAAGTTTATATTCTACATAATAAGTAGCACAGAGGGTGTTTTAATTTTTAGATAATTTACCATACATGACGCATATCATAGAATCGAAAATAGGAAGGTTACACGTGGCAGGAAACACCTCGGATTGATTTTTAAAATAATTATAGGAGGAAAATCAATTTTTTAAATTACATTTCTGGAGGTTGAAATGATATACACGATGTACTGGTGTATTATAATAAACTGCAATAGGTAAGTGGTAACCAATGAGTAACTAAGACTATGCCTAGGTTTGGAGTGTATTAGTATTATGACAGACGCGCAGTCGTTTTGAATAATAGCTAAACGTTCATTTTTATGAATTATGACTGCAGTCCGATAACGAGTTGGAAGTGTATAACTAACAATAATTAATATTGTTCTATCCATGCTTTAGATTTGATTTTTAATAAATGATGTACGAAACAACGCAAATGTACGTATGAGATTTCAGCATTTTCCGATTTTTAAGGAAACTAAGACATTTTCTGGCTTATGAGGTAGTCACATCCAACATTGACGCGACTTTGACAGTTACAAAATAATATAAATTGAGTTTAACACCGAGGAAGTTGAAATTGTGATTTTCCAGGGCCGTTCTATTTCCCCGGCGACCGTCTAAATAATAATTCCGATACCTCGGATGTATTACGTCGATGTCTATAAATACATTTTTTTTTAAGAAGAAAAGTTTGTTTTCTAAATTAACCAACTGCTGCAGTCTCGTATATATGATAAATAGTTTTACCGCAGTGGCTATACTATATATAGGTACATCATGTGACGGAGAGACGACGAAAATACGATTTTTTTTTTCCATCTACACGCCCATTTTGAGTCGCATATATGACGTATACCGTATTATATATTATTATATGTTACATGGCTTACGTTTACGATTTTCTATATATGTACTCGTGTGTGTATGCGTGCGAACGTTTTCGGTCAAGTTGTAACCTATATATATTATCGGCATCATGGTGCGTGTATATACATAGGTACTGTAAATACTATACACACACTGCAGGTATATACATAGGTACTGTATATACTATATACACACACAGCAGGTATATACATATAGATTCCGTATATATATATGTGTGTGTGTGTGTATGATGTACTATTGGGACTAGTTTCCCGTCGTTTCCGCCGGCTCGCCACAAATTAGTGATCCCGCCGTACGCCCATTAGGTGGTCCGCAATCGCTGCCGCCAAAAACATAAAAAAAAAAAAAACCCGATCGTGCCTCGGGGGCCGCAACCGCGCTATACCTCTATATACGCGAACCTGGTATATATTATACCACTTATACCTGCAGCCGCCGTCTCTCGGTCATCATAATACGCCGCGCGTATAGTGCACGCGGGTAAAAAAAAAAAAATAATAATAATAATAATAATAATAAACGTACTTCTTTTGACCGATCGCAAACCGATTCGCTTTTAATATCATTATAAGTCGTATAATAAGTCGTAGGTAGGTAGGGCTCGTATTGTGTCCGATATAAGTGCACGTGCCGCGAGTGTGTGTGCGTGTGTGTGTTTGTGTGTGTGGCGCGTATTGTTTGTAGTATACTCGTTTTTTACAGTTTGCACATTGACGAGAAACACAGGAAAGACGATTATTATTATTATTACTATTTTTTTTTTTTTTACCATCTGTGGCAGCTGTATGCGCCTCGAGGCGAATCATTTTCGGTTATGCCCGACTCTATAATATATTTAATAATAATAATATGTGCGCGTTACGAACGACTCCCACATAATCGCGTGGCCCCAGCATCGATGATTCGACAGTCTGCAGATATAATACACCTATGGGTTTTTCTTTTTTTCGTCTAGCTGATCCTTTCAGCGCCGCTCACTAAACAATCCATACGAATAGATGGGTTTTTTTTTTGTTTTTAACCCAATAATTCATTAATACCGATAAGTCTCCGTAGCATGTACTATAAACTAGTATTTCGTATGGGTAACTACTGCCGTTCGACCTAATACAAATCGAATTGGATAGTCAAAATCTCCGCAGAGTACCTATTATAGGTATACCTACCTCCTAGCTATACTAATTATCGAGAATGAAAACATTTCGGGATTAATTATTATGATGGGCTTTATATGTGCGGTTACACTGTCTTATAATTATTGGTTTGGTAAATATGTCAGTTATTTACGAGTTACAAATAATTATACACTCGAAATATGCATGAAATATATATAACATATAACTAATATAAATAATAATATATATTATGAAAAAATTAAATATAAAAAGCATATTAAATAGAGAGTTTGTTAATTTGTATTTCCTTATTACTTTTACTAATAAACAAATACACTGTTATTGTCTCAGCATTTTAAAACCATTCAACACGAGTTCATGACCAATATAAATATGGTACTCGAATGATTTAGAGATACTTAAAATACAATGAAGTTTATAGATATATTTGAATAGAGTTACAACTTACAACTTACAACTAATCGTATTTAAACTCGAACGTCAATTAATAATATTAAGATTTAAAATGATTGATGTTCAATTTAACATTCAAACGAAAAAATATTATTTTAAATATATGATATTTTGTTTCAATAAAAAAAACATATTTTAATGATTTTATTTAAATTAAAAATGTTGTGAGCGAAGGAGCGTTTCCTAAGTTAAATACACACAGTTAGAATAACATAGTATTAACATGAATACAAATTTCAAGATAAAATACATAATACAATAACATCTATCAACTTTTCAAATTATCAATATATATGTACAATACTAACTGCCACTATTGAATATTAATATCATGAAATCAATACATTTAACTGGAATTTAAACAATAGCTTCATCACAAAAACAGTACAAAACAATAAATACATATAATAAAAGATAAA